CGGAAGGGTCGATTGGAAAGTTTGGAACCTTTCAGGGAATTTTTGGCCCAAGATTTCGTAGTTTGAAGAACCATTTCTACAGCGTAATGAAAGTTTCGTTCGACAATTTCTTAACAATAGTTATAACTTAATAATATTATATAACTACAGTTTTGCAAGAATTTTATTAACATGAAGGGAAAAATTTAGGGAGGAGAAGAACAAGGGAAGATTATATATTTTCATCAGAATGGGAACACAGTTCATTCTGTTTTCGAATAACATACATCGAAGCAAATTTTCAAACTTTTTTTTCCCTAATGGTTAGTCAAAATGAATTAATATGTTCTACTAACAACAGTTGGAAACAAGGGGGAGATCTGCAAACAGGAGGTGACAGACGTTGGATACAGTAGCAGAGGGCACGGCCTGGTCGAAATTCGTCGCGCTCTCTCGAGCTACGATTTGTCTGCTCAATTTCACGGCCCTTTCGGCCAAAATGGGAAAATCTCCCAGCACTCGAGTGCAGTGCCGAGTGTGGGAAATAGACCGCGTTAGTTCACCGTTTCTGTTTGCCACTCTCTTCGTCCGTGTGGGTGTGAGAATCCGTTCAATCGCGCGGTGTTACTTCTCTGAAGCTTGTCAGGAAATCTAATTTCACAAATTTTATTTTCCCGATACCAGACCTTTATTATTCCACGTTCTATGAATGATCTTCACGCTGACTCTCGATTTACGTAATCACAGAATTTGGATCTTTCTTTTTGAAGTATTAACTTTAAATTAAAGTTAAAGCACACCGCGCATCAGCCAAGATTGAGTTTTAATACATTGAATTTCTACAAGTTTCTTTTAACTATTTTTAAATAATGCAATTTCATGATCATTTCATTAGCAGCTAACGACATTACACTGTGCTCGGAATATTTTTAACTCCTGACCTAATTTTTAAAAAATCAGTCTACAAACGCTTTTAACTCGTGAAATTTACAAATCAATACTGCCAACACGCTCAGACCAGTTATTCTCATCTCATTGTTCGCGTTCAATTCCGTGATAAAATAATCTATCCCCAATTACAAGGGTTATTTAAAATCCCCCCACACACATTTCGTCGATTGTTCTAAATAATTCAATCGTCCGTTCATCGTATAATTCAGTCGTCCGTCAGTTTCTGGCTCTAACTGGCAAAAACACATCATATTATACTACGGCAGGAGGATAAAATTAATCTAACAGCCTCGCAAGTTTTTTACAAATCATATTTATAAACAAATTGGTATCAAGTAACACCAAGTTCGACAATAAAACAAAATATCAGTAGTTGGTGAATCATTGTTCGAAATAGTCTTAGCAAACTTGTTTGTTCGCTGACGGCTCGATTAAATCAATATTAGCCCTTCTTCCACTTCAACTTCTCTGCGAACTCGATACGAGGTCTCTGTTGTCACGATGATGTATATTTCAATAAAAATGCAACAATAGCTGAATACCGAATATTGTATTTCTCGAGTCGAGTCCAGTGGATTATCGTTCGATAATCGTCGTTGGCGATTTTGCGGCGAAATTTCCAGCGGACAGGCTGGAAAACATCCGCAATCGGACTATCAATATATTCGGTTCCGTGCCAGTGACTGTTCCAGAACGGATATCCGCGGCGAGGGATTATTAGGTTTCTGCACTCGGAAGCGGCGTTTTCATCCAACGCGACGCAGACAAAGAAAGGGGAAGAGAAAGAGAAAGATAGAGCAGTAGTATAGAGCACGTCTAGGCTGTACGTTACGCTCTAGGGGAGCCGCTTCTCTGTCGTACGGTAGGCGTGGTTGAAATCACGAGATGATTTATCCTTTGCGAAGCGGTAACTGCCGAGATCCTTGGCTAAACGACCGCGGTCCTTCGTGTATTAACCGTAATGCACTCTGCCGTTGCCATTGTGAGCACTGTATATAACTATACCTACCCTGGCCAAGGTCTTGCAACCCCTCGACCGAATCATCTTTCTCGTTTTGCGACGCGGATCATCCTCGTCTCCTTTGGAAGGAGATTCGCGTTTCCTCCTTGCTTCTTTTCAATGTGCACGGCGTTACGAAAGCAACATTCGGGCACTATATTGAAGATCTGGCGTGTGAGAAACATTTTGAGATTTCAATGGTTGATCAACAGTCTGAAAATCTAAATACAATTTTAACATCAGCGGAGTTAATCTTGCTTCGTGTGCTGTGACACAGTTCAACAAAATTTGCTGACTTTTTGTCTTTCGTTTGTTTCTATCATCGTACTATTATAATTGGAATTTGTTGTTCAAATATCGAATTAGAATTGTCATCGTGCAGCATATTGGGGGGCAGCAGGGAAATTACAGCCGCGATACCTTCCGCACGCTAAACCGATACCCCTGTGCACTTTGAACCCTACACTCCATTGTGTCCCATAATTTCTTTCCCCCGACGTAACGCCCCGAGCCCAAGTCGCTGCGTGGATTCTGCCCGAGCCACTTCCTGCTTTAATGCGCGTGAGATGCACGAGCGTATTGATGTTTCGTGTAGTCGCAAATGTTGATCGATTAGGCGTTGCATAAGCTGCGTGTGTCGTTTGCATTTAAAGTGCACGCCAAAATTCAATCTCGGTTTACTTTCAGCGATCTTCAGAGTCCTCGTTTCAAACCAATATCGTTATTTAGATCATCCTATGTGTAATAACATCTTTAATGACTGATGAAATTTGCAACGATCTTATGTGTACTTAACAAAAGTTGAAGTAAAACCTGTTGTCGACTCGTGAACAATAGCTCGAGTTAAAAATACTTTGTTTTATGCGATAGAAACCAACGCTATTTGTACTGTGACATGCGAATCCAAAATTACATTAACCGAACTCGAATTTACAATTAACCCAAAGCGTGCGACTCGATCCACGCATTTATTTCCAAACATACTTCATCTACAAATATCCCACCCATACATTCTCTTTTCATCTACAAATCAGTGTCATCGTATATATTTTTTTTTTCCGGATCGCCTCCGTAATCGATTTTCGAGTTGTTTTGACAATTACGTCGAGCCAGATTCTTCGAAGGGGTGGCTTTTGTCGGCCCCGTGAAACGAGATCGGTGTCTCTCCCGTGGGATCACCTTGACGTGGAAAATTGCAGACTGCACGCCGCGGGCGGGGATCACAGCGCGCGTATTTTCGCAGGCTGCGGCGCGTGCTGGGTCCCGTCTTTCGAGGGGACCCATGGAAAAAAGGCCCGATGTTCACTTCCCTTGAACGCCTCGTAGGCGTGACCCCATATGCCACTTTCGGCCGTACAGCCTAACCGCTTCTCGATATGCATTGGCGCATTGTGAAACCAGTTAATTTGTGAAACCCCAACGGGGCTGCAACGCAACGTAAAGACCAGCGCGAGGATCTTTGGACAGATTCTTGGAAGGAATTCCTTGGTAATGTGATGTTAGTTCGAATAAAATACGAATGAAAGAGAAAGGTAGCTAAATTGTTGCTCGTGAATTTCAATGATAAATTATCGTTGATCCACAGACCAACCTTTTAAACTATTACAGGATCAACTTCAAAGTATATTTTCTTTCACCATTTAACTCAACGACATTAACAATTGCTAAGAAAAGAAAAAAAAATTCTTACCTAGCCTAACAGGTAACCAAGTAGCATAAAAATCGGATCCGGATTACCTACCTCTGAATCAACGAGAATGAAGGCACTGTAGCCCTGACTAGAGGCCACTCGAAATAGGCCAATAATAGCCAATAAGCACAGAGCTACTGTTTAATACACCTCGGCTCGTAAATAAATAACGAGGATTCCTCAACTGTGTGTTCCTCAACTCTGTAATTTTATCTATAACTCGCGACAATTTGCAAAAATCGCAAGCGTCTTCATGAATCTTTTACACGGCGTTGGATTAAAAAACGCAAAAGAGCGGGGAACGTGTGATGTGGTGTGCATTCACATGTACACGACAATATTCCACATGATATTCGCACATTTTATTGCCTTCTCGATATACACTTTCTTCCGTTTTTCCGCTCCACGGCCCTAAACGCAGCTGCGGTGATCGCACGCTCGATCGATATCGGTATCGTTGTAGCACGTTACTTCTGGGATGGAGCGGAGGTTCGCTTAAACGTAAAGAAATTATCTACAAGTACGACTTATGGCCCGTAGACGGGGAATATCTAGGCGATACGCTGTGTGAAAGCTATTTACAGGATTCCTCTCTGTTAATCCTTGGATACTTGGACGCTTGGAGAGGTATAGTTTTGAAAACCATGTGTTTCGAAAAATAAATAATATAAATATAACAAAACATATCCTGAATCTTGATGCACCTCTGGCGCTGTTTGGAAAATCCCGTCTCCAAGGTTTAAGAAAAAATTTTAGTGTGAAAGCTATTTACAGAATTTCTCTCTGTTAATCCTTGGATACTTGGACGCTTGGAGAGGTATAGTTTTGAAAACCATGTGCTTCAAAAAATAAATTATATAAATATAACAAAACATATCTTGATGCACCTCTGGTGCTGTTTGGAAAATTCCGTCTCCAAGGTTTTAAGGTAGATATACATACGTATTTATACATCGATCAATCCGACTCGATGGATCGTGATACAGAAATCGAGAGATGGAAGAGAGACGATCCCTGATTGCTTGCTTCCAAGAATCAGCGTACGTACGAACACGTTTAATATAACATCCAAGGGAACAAATTTATAGTACAAACTTTCGTGTCAATTATAATCTCTACGGATTGAAAACTTTCATTGTCAAAGACAATGTGTCTTCTCCCTCTCTCATCACTCGTAATTTTCACGTAACAATATCCAGGTCACCGATTCCACAAGTTATTATCACGTTACCATTGTTAAAAGAGACAGCCAGACTTCCGAAAAGCACACACTGCCTCCGCCACTGAAAACTCCTGCCTCGCGCAACAAACGCAAAGATTACGATTCTAACCACGAACCTGCAATTAGTCCCACGTGCACAGTTCACTTCGTAGCTTTCACTACCTGCCGGAAGAACTGAGACCACCGCGATGAGAGGGAACCGTGAACGCTCTTAGTCCGACACCGACTCCGATTCCAACTCCGCCGCTCAGAGGGCTCTGCACCTGTCCGCTCAAGTTAATGGACGAGTTAACCAGTCCAAGAGCGTCCCCGAGGACCGACGGCGAGACGCTGGACGACGTTGGGCTTTCGGTCGTTGGCCTGACTCTCGGCGGCCTGGCGCACTTCTCCAAATGGTGATGATGAGATCTCACCGCTAGTCGACTAACATGCACCGGAATCGGCACGACGATCCTGGTCCCGTTTCCAGAATGTTGCCCAGCTGCCCCGTTGTGCCTGCTAGAGGTACCGGCAGTCGCCATGCTGCCCGCACCGGATCCAACTCCGCCGCCGCTTAGCCCTGCCTTCACCCTCTTCCACTTGGCACGTCGATTTTGAAACCAGATCTTCACCTGCACCTCGGACAATTTCAGAGCGTGCGCGATGTGCGATCTCTCGGTCAGACTGAGATACTTCTTCGCGTGAAATTCTCGCTCCAGTTCCAACAGTTGCTCGGAAGTGAACGCTGTTCGTCTGCGTCTGGCCTTGTTGTTGTTGCTGCTGGACGTGCCGCTCGTCGACGTGCTCTGACCGTTCTCCAGGGAACAACCACCGGGGCTCACGTTGCTGGACGCGTTGCTGGACATGGTGTCGGTGGCGTCGTGACCCTCGCCGGTCATGCTCAATCCTCCACCCTCGTCCTCGCTCTCCGCCGAGGCGCGACCATTCTCCGAACCTGCAACCAAAGCGGATTTTTCCGTTTCTATCCAAGAAACTTTCTATTCTATCGCGTGGATCAAGAGAATTTCTTTCCGAGAAACGAGTTGGACACTTATCCGGCCCATTTATGTATATTTGGCGAGTGTAATTCTAGAAATCTAAGTAGAAAATACCTGGCCTTCGTCAGTTTCGACTGCGTCGAACGCCACGTCACTGATCGGTCGAACTGAATTGCTCGGAGATTCTCTCGGAGTTGGATCAATTAACAGTGATATAGTTTAAGAAGAAGATTTAATATGCGGGGCAAAGCGTATCCCCGATCGAAGTCTCGCTCCGTTCCCCCTGTCATTTTCCACGTGTTCTATTCTCTTTTCTCGTGCCTTCTCGCGAGCCAGCCGGAACACTTTGCCCGCTCGTAAACGACGTTACAAGCTGTATTATTATCTCGTAATTTCACTGCATTTTATACACTTCACTAGCCGTGTGCATGAAATATTGAGGGAGCGCGAGCGAAGTTTTCTTTGAAAACAGCAATGGCGAAGTGGAAAAGTTCTTGGAAAAAAGTATGATTATCAAGCGAAATTGATGGAAGTTCAACCCGAAGCTTATGGATTATTCAGTATCTTTGTGTATACGTCGAAGCTGTTTATGAAAATTGTTAACCGAAGTGCTCGACTAATTATTAACAATACCGTGAAGAAAATGATCGGTACGCGGAACTCGAAGGAAAGGCATAAGAGACGTAAACTAGAAACAGAAACCTAGAAAGTACAAAATCGTAACTTCAAATCGTTCCATGAATCGCGAACTACTTCGGTCATTAACTTATCGTCGTAACAAAGTAGATTGTGTGAAACATTTTGAAAATAACATTGTTCAAACGAAGAATTAGGTTTCCAGATTGAAGAAATATAAAACACTTAAAAAGGGAAGAAACAATTAGATCAAAGACATAATTAACGAAATGACGGCACGTAGAAGATTTTTAAATGCTCAGCCAGGCAAAAAGACAGAAAATTTTGATAACGAGTTAGATCAATCGACGAATGAATGAAATATGAAAAACAAAGTGCTCCTGCTGCTATAGTCTCCAAACGCGAACAGTACCAACTGACACAAATCGCGAAATGAAGTTGTCAATTAGCTTTCTGAAAGAATGACAAACGTGTATGGCCATAAGAATTAACGTCCCTATAAACTCGATTTCCCGCGAGCTTTGCCGAGATTATAGCTTCAGTTTTTTATTCATTTTCGTGTTTATGGCCATTGGACGCGCGGCACGAAGCGGAACAGCAAGTGCCTCAGGCAGGCAAGTTATACCGCTGCCGGGAGTTTGATGCACCCGCGTGTTTATTATTAATTCAAAGAGTTTCGATTGAATGGGCCATAACGCTTCCGCGAACGAGAGGCGAGTTCGCGATATTCTCCGGCAAGTATAGCAGAAGAAACACGTTCGGGCGTTGTCCCCTGTTCTGGTCTCTACATTTTCTCCTCCGCGATAGAGCTGATCGATCGTTCGAACGATACGTTACATCTCTATTCCGCACTCGTTCCTCGCCATTAAGGTTGGACAGAGCAATTTGTTCGATACCAGGGCAGAAAAGCACCTTCGCGGCGGCATGCTTGTACGTTTAGAAATCGAGGGATCGACTTTTAACCTATCGGCTGCGTCGCAACCGCGAACGCTGTTATTTAAGTAGACTCTAAATGTCTGTTGCACAGGGCGAAGTGTATTCTAGCGACGCAAATAGAGCCACGGATCTTTTATTTAGCGGATCATTCTAAATTGCTCGCCGTTCTGGTTTTCATTCTTTTCGACGTTACGAGGACGAAGAACGATCCAACGTGACTGACAGAACTAATTTCCCTTCTTTTTTTAAGTTCCGAACTTTCTACTTTTAAAAAAAACAAAACACTTTATACCGGAGCTAATTATACAAGGATACTCGCGAGACTGTACCACTTCACCAATGCTAAG